TTAGTTTCAACATTTCAACACAATAAACGCACAAATTTTTGTTTCACCCTAATACTACTATTACTACTACTACTATTATTTTATACTTACTAAAATCCGTAGGATTATAATGTGTAGGACAACGTAAACCAAGACTACTTAAATATGGCACCAAATTATGCGTTCCACCTGTATAAACGCAATATCCTTCAGCAACTATATACAGATGATCTATCATATCGAATAACGATGCACTAGGTTGATGTATCGTACAAATTATCGTTCTTCCTTCTAATGCTAATTGTTTTAAAAATCTGACACATTGTTTCGACGTGACGCTGTCCAATCCGCTAACGTTAATCGAAAAAAGAAAGAAAATAATGAGAATGAGAATTAAACAGAACAAACAAACATAATAATAATAATAATAATAATAATAATAATAATAATAATTTTTAATTTATTTAATCTCTACTATAATTTATTAATTTATTATTAGTTTAATTAATTTAATCTATTATAAATATTATAAACACGTACCTCGTAGGCTCGTCTAAAAATATAATAGGCGGATTGTTAATTAATTCCAATGCAATGGCCAATCTTTTTTTTTGTCCTCCGCTTAGGGCACCGATAAGGGTGTATCGCGTTTCTGTCAATCCCATCACAGACAAAATTTCTTCGATCTGTTGATTAAAAATGATAAATGCAAACAATAAATACAGTGTTTTTTTATTAAATCATAACAAATGTATCTTATTTTCTTTTGCTTTTTTTTTCTATACAAAGCACGTCCGACACACACGCGTGGCATATATATAAATTAATTAATATTAATGAATGATTTAATATACGACTATATATATATATATATAAATTAATTTAAATCCTTTGCCGTATAATTTAATGTTTTAATTCAAAATCGTTATCAATGAGTCAGACTCGTCAAAGTATGGCAAAAGGTGATTGTAATTAATCGTATATCGTTTATAATTTTATAAACAAAGTTAAAAACACAAGTGGGGGGTGCCTCTTGTAACTATTAGGGTGAACCATAAGTTCGTGTATCATTTTCATGGAATAACATTTTACCTTGAAACCTTCGCATCCTTTACAACGTTTCATACAACTGACGCATTCTTGAAACGTATGATAAATTATTTTCTTTTTTTTATCAAATTTACTTTGGAAATATTAATAAAAAAAAATACACGAACTTTTTTGGTTCACCCTAATAATAATTGGCATATGATTTTTTTGTTTTGTTCTTGTGTTCTTCCAAACGATTATAATTATATTTCTTTTCTTCTCTTATCTCGTTATTATTATTATTATTATTATTATTTGCTTTGTTTAAATAAAACTCTGTGATAGACCTATACCCTGCGCAATCTTTCACGTGGCTTCAATGTTAATTTGAGATCGGCTGCCACAAGCATAGCTTCCTCAACCGTGAAAAGTGGTTGCATATTGTCGTCCTGCATAATGTATGCCGATGAACGCCTAAATTCAACGAGGTTCCTTTCAATGCCATTCACCGTGACGCTTCCCTCGAATGACGATGTGCTAAAAAAAAAAAAAACACAATGTTAGTTTTTTTTTTTTTTAAATAAACTCAGCAATGTGTTGTCGAATGAATTTTAACTAAACGAATGATATTACAAATTATTATTATTATTATTATTATTATTGTATATTCTCTATCCTTCTTTTTTTTTTAATTATTATTTTATTATCATTGCTTTTTTTATTATTATTATTATTATTATTGATGGGGGTTGGCAACTAAGTGATTGCGAATTTTGTCGTTGTTTTCGTGTGTTAAAATTTGCACTCATTTAATTGCCAACTTAATATTATTATTATTATTATATTCTATTCCTTTTTTTAATTATTACTTTATTATCATTTCTTTTTTTTTGTCATTATTAATAATATTATTATTATTAATGGGGGTTGGCAACTAAGTGATTGCGAATTTTATCGTTGTTTTCGTGTGTTAAAATTTGCATTCATTTAATTGCCAACTTAATATTATTATTATTATTATATTCTATTCCTTTTTTTAATTATTACTTTATTATCATTTCTTTTTTTTGTCATTATTAATAATATTATTATTATTAATGGGGGTTGGCAACTAAGTGGTTGCGAATTTTATCGTTGTTTTCGTGTGTTAAAATTTGCATTCATTTAATTGCCAACTTAATATTATTAGTATTATTATTATTATTGTGCGTTATTTTTGCTTTTTTTTTTGTTTTTTTTTTTTTTTTTTTTTTTTTTCCCCAATTTCGTTTTTTTTTTTTTTTTTCTTAAATTACTGACATAAAACCTGCCAGGATATCCATGAGTGTTGTTTTTCCAGCGCCCGATGGTCCCATAATAGCCGTAAGTTCACCAGGTCT